TCGTTTATTAAGACTTCTGCAGAGTGTGATGCAAAGTRGTTGAAGTAAATGAGTCTTTTGAATGGGAAACATAGATGATAGTGAGACTCAAAGATCAAGATTCCTGGTTTTATGAAATGTTTTTGTAAGCACGTATATTTTTGTCGAGTCCCAGCACCAAACGAACAAAAAGGCCCGAGTCATTTCATTGCCAGGACCTTGCTTTATTATAGTAGGGAGGGGTTTTTTATGAGCTTTATTTTTACACATCTCTGCATCCCTCTGGTCAAATGACAAGAAAAAATATTTCCATCATAAAACGGCTCCCTAGAAAGCTGTTTCCCTCACGTTTCTAGACAAGAAATGCAGGAGCTTTAATTATCGTGGCCAGAAAGCAATAAGTGTGACAAATGGAGCTCAAAAGAGAATGTTTATACAACAGAAATCAGGTTTTTAGATAGGATTTTGGAGGAAGGCTTTGACAATTAACGCCTTACGAAAATTACGAAAATTACATAGGTGAAAAAAGTTATGAATTGATCGGGAGTAGATGCAATAAAATCGCTACCGAACACCTCTATCCAAGCCGGTTCATTTTATTCTTTATGTCTTCCTTTGGCTTCATAAAATAATTGCTGCCACCTCCCTCGGCCGCTTGCGTAGTTTATGGAAGTTAACGAAATTTAGGTAGAGTAAAAAATAAAAACATAAATAAACCTTGGCGTCCTGAGGTCCGACGCCCCGCTAGCTAATTGCGTGACAGAAATGTCCCTGATTTATTTAGATGCAGACACTTGTATCAGTGGGGGGACAAACTACAGTTTGTTTCCATAACAGCTGTGTYGTCGATCAACAGTCAACAACACGTTCCTCTGTGATGATGGTGAAAGTTTGAGGCTTTTTCATTTACAGCTTAATAAAGTTTATATGTTTTATTGAGATTATGAGCTTGTAACCTGGTTTTATTGCTTTAGAAGTATCTTTAAGGCTAAACTGAATGCAAAAGTGACCCCAAAATGATTTCTTTTGGGCAACATGTGACCCAAATCTCATGTTTTTATGACAACAGATGTGATTTTTTTTCAAATTTGACAGATCAGTTTTATATGTGGTAATAAATTAAATACATAGTTATGTTTTTCAAAGKGACTGCAGTCTGAAATTCTTGGAACTTTGCTTAACTTCATCTACAGAATAGAAGTCCAGTCGCTTGTTTCAGTTGTTTCTTTTTTCAGTACATCACTCCTGTTCCAGAGGAGTGATGTAGTTACTGGACGAAGCAAGCACAGCAGATAATATTTTAATTGGTTCTGAGTGCACAACAACATGCAAACATGATAAAATCTATATTTACTGCCATGATTTTCTTTCAAAAAATCTGCAATTATCTCCTTGTACTTTCATTATCCAACCATTATGTTGGCCCAGTTATTCTTCAGAAGAAAACATTTAAATGAAGCTGAATATTGCCTTAATGTTCATGACCACAAACTGTGCACGCAAACCACCGACTGGAGTTCGGGGTTTGCAAAATCTTCTGCTYCTGGAAAGAAAAGCATCCTCATCCTACTATGAGAATCATTGCTTCCAATTAACACAAGACACAATAAGGTCTAACACATAGAAACCACAAAGTAAAAAAAAACTTTTTTTTTTTGCAGGTTCCGACACAGTATGAATAGAAAAAAAATGCACATCTTTCTTCCATTTAGGCTTTAAAATACACAACTCCAGACTTGGTACAGTAAAAGACACACATGCACACTCACTGTTTTTTTTTTTTTTTAGTGCAACGGGGAACTCCAGCTTATGTAATACAATCCAATTAGGAAGCTGGGTCAATCAGAGGAGCTGCTGGCTAAAAAAATAATAAAAAAACCCATTTGTGGCCACTTTTCTGCTTTTCTCAAAGCCGCAGAAATGAACAGGAAACCTGCCTGTCTGGTTTGTCATACAGCTGATCTCATCCACTAATATAGCATAAAATACATGGAATAAACCAGGACTGTGGTCAAAGCAGCTTAACTCACACTCTATGGAGTCTGTGAAATGCAAGAAACACGAATCTGGGGTCAAAACCAACCCAAACGGGGTAAATAAAGCACCACAGGACCGGGTTAAATATACCCATGAGCTGACTGAGAACCAGCAGTGATGAGGAGCTGTTATGACAGCATTACGGTGTAATTTTCTATAATTTATTCAAACCAAAGTGTTCCAGTGGAACTCCTTTTACGTTACTCTAACTGAACGGTTCTGATCCGGACTGATTCTATAAACATGTCATGCTACACAGCTCTAAAATATATGTTCAGAAAAAAAAACCTTAACTCCAAAACAAGCTTATTAAAGGGGATCCCTGATTAGTTGTAACACTAGACTTTATTTGATAAACATATATTTTAAGTGTAAAATAAAGACTGTAAAAATACTGCAGGCTGTGTAGTTTTGTACGTTTTTAAAAATATATTTTAACAGGGACGGAGGCATTTTATTTACATGCAAAGCATTCTGGGTAAATGATGACATAGGTCCTCGGTGTGAGGCTGCTAGCAAGCTACTGTATATCCACCCTGAAGGTTAATCTTGGACAATATCTGACGATTGGCTCTTTTAAATGAAACCAGAGAGCGTTGACAGAGAGGAGAAGGTAGAAATGACTCAGCCTGTAACTGAAAATATAYATGGAGGACAACAGAGCTGCTTCATGGAAGAAGAACCTCAGCTTAGCCTGTTAGCCTTTGTGCTAGCACTGACGCTATATTGCCTTATAAGTATTAGCTCGGTGCTAGTGRGACTAACAAGCTAAACTGAGGTCCTCCATCCATATTTTCAGTTGCAGCTGAGTCATTTTTGCGTTCCTCTCTCTGTCATGTGGATGGAGGACCTCAGTGACGAGGAGAATGTGTAGCTGTGAGCTAATACATATTTTGCATCGGGGCTAATGCTAAAGCTAACAGGATAAGCTGAGGTTCTTCTTCCATGAAGCAGCTCTGTTGTCCTCCATCTATATTTTCAGTTACAGGCTGAGTCATTTCTACCTTCTCCTCTCTGTCAACGCTCTCTGGTTTCATTTAAAAGAGTCGATCATCAGATATTGTCCAAGATTAACCTTCATGGTGGGTATGACTCACTAGCAGCCTCGCACCGATGACCTACCCACATCATCATTTACCCAGAATGCTTTGCATGCAAATAAAATAGCCCCATCCGTGTAATATATTTTTAAACTTTTAGTTTAAAAATTATAAAAACTAAACATCCTACAGTATTTTTACAGTCTTTATTTTACAGTTAAAATATATGTTTATTAAATAAAGTCTGTTACAACTAATCTGGGATCCCTTTAAGATAAATGCTTCAAAGAAATTTTAGGTTTTTATGTTTCCAAATACTTATGTTCCCAAGTATTTATGTTGACCAACACCTATGTTCGTCAGTACCCATGTTCCCCAGTATATATGTTACCTGTTCCCCGCAATACACCCATCCCAGTGTTCCTCAGTATATATGTTCTACAACATTTACATTCCTCATTGCCTATTTTCCCTAGTATTTTTGTCTTGTGGTACCTACTCAAACAAAAAAACATGGCCAAAAAAATTGTAGGTTCAAATTAGCACCATTGAAATTTGAAGCTTCCTGTAATCAGTGCCAACAAAATCCTGACTGAGATTTAAGGTAGAGCAGTACTGTGTCAAAGAGAGCATGAAGGTTTTATGGACAAAGAAGCAAGAGCAACTCTTGATGGTCCAAAGCTGGACCACTGGTGGACTCAAGGAACTACTTAGAATCAGATGTCCATTAGAGGATTGAGAAGCAATCGGCTCAACTTCACCTGCTGCCAGTTTCTAGATTTTAATGCAGGATGATGCTCCATCCAGTTGCAGGACGAAAAGCAGTTTTCTTCAGTTTTAAAATCCATTCACAGCACATCTTACATGGCTTTTGTGGGGGGAAATGACTCAAATCTCCATAACTGTCTTTTCTTAGCAAAAAGAAAATACACACACACCACAGGTCTTAATGCTCAATTCTAAATTCTGCCAGAGATCAGATTCTTTGTTGTTCCATTAGATTTAAATATGGCCACCATCAGACTTCAGTGTGAACATTTTGCAGCCCTGAAATGACCCACATGGTTACAGATTAAAACAAAGTCAARTGTAGCTGCTCAGCTGAAGGCATTTGCCAATTTTCTTTATTTTGTATCAAGTTTTGGGTTCATCAACTGAAAAAGTAATATTTTTTTTTGCTATCTAAGCATAATTAAAGAAGATGAATGAAAYATAATTGTTCTTTGAAGATGAACTTCAACTGCATGGACAAAAAGTCAGCAGTGGATGGGTTAAAAAGGAGAGAACTGCATTTTGTCTCTTTGTTTCTTTGACTTGTAGTCCAGCTTTGAAACACAAACCCTGRCTGAGCTTTCCACTTTTGAGGTCAGAGAATCTCGGTACGAAACAAAAAGCACCATTAAAGTAGCTTTCGGCTGTTTGAAAGATTAATTCACTGGCAGCTTCTCACCTCATTATTCACAAAAAAAAKCACACACACAGCTGCTGCAGAAAGCTGCAGACAGACCCATCCTTTAATGAGGCACACGTTCTCTCAATCTCTGCACGCAGAAAATACTATTTGTGTTCTTTTCAATGACCAAATCCAGCATTTCTCCTATACAGATCTGAATAAGGTGTTGAAGTATTTCACCCKTCACCCCACCCCTGACATGATGCACATCTTCCTGAGTTTCAAGTAGTTCAACATAGTAGAAATCTGCTGCCGATATGTTCTTATAAATCTCGCTGCGTGACATCTTGCTACAGAGTTTCAGGCAGGAAATGGAAACAAACGCAACACTCTTCGCTTTCCTGGAGCTTGAAATGTGAATGTTTCACTTAAAGGATCTTTCCTTTCCTTTTACTAATTTGGCCCTAGATACCCCGACAGGGTGGAGCTCTTACATAACACACACGCAAATCCTTGCTTTGCAGAAACACACAAGCTGGAGTGCGCTAGCAGCTTGGAATGAGCAGCAGCGAGCCAAAATACAGCTAATCCCTTCGAAATTGTCGCACATTTTCAAGTTAAAACCCAAACAAACAGGGATGTGTGTTGTCAGAAGTGGTCTATAACCATTTTGGAGCAGAAGAAGAAGAAGAAGAAGAAGAAGAAGAGACTCCTCGAGCTCTGATTTTGCAGATACGGATCTATCACTTCAGGAAACCGAGGATCTCACAGCAGATCTCGGCAGCAGGAGATAAAAGTAAAGCGACAACGTTTGTGGGGCAATTTCTTTTTAAGCATCTCGATTTAATCTGATTAATTTTCCACAGATTGTGTCTTAATTCTCTAAATTAAATTTGTTGAAACATTGGTTCGAGGCAATTTTAACCTTCCATAAATTAAAGATCCTCAAAGTGTGTGTGCGTTTTCTGTAAATTAGGAAATTAACTCAAAGACATTTTGTTTAAAGGCTCTTTTGCGTTCATCTTAAAAGGTCTTTTAACATTACAGCTACTTTGAGGAGTTACATTTGATGAAGTTGTCCTTTAAAGTGACTGCAACATCAATTTTTGGTAATAAATAAGAGAGCATTTTTGGAAAGATAGCACTGATAAAACATTGCAAAATAAAATTTCATGCAGCTGAGATYAACAGTTGTTGAGATATTCACATGTGATGTAACAGGAAGTGATGTCAAGGAGGAATGACTGCATGTAAACAGAGCATTGCTACACCGACTCTAGAGAAGAATCTGATGTTTATTTCGATTATTTTGAGTCACCATTGGAGAGATGAAGAGTCAAAGGAATAGTATTGTTTCAATAAACAAAGACCAGAGAGTTCCTTTTCTTAAAGAGTTCCCCTTTGATGTCACTTCCTGTTCCACTTTGGCTGAGCCAYCTTCAAAAGTAAAGGTGCCAGTCATGTGACAAAATGGTAAAATTATACGTAATATTCCAAGTTCCTTAAATATAAATATAATTTCTTAATTACAGGCACTTTAAGAAGTTTTATTTAAAACCCATTTACGTAATGTTTAGTTATCAAAATTGGAGATAAAACAAAGTAAAATAAAAACTTTCTAAAACTATTTAAAACAATTTACTATTTTAAAGCACCAAGGAGATAAAGATCTTGCTCTGCAGAGTACATKAGTTGGCCAGATTAATTAGGGTTAAATTCAGGATCAATCCAGGTTAGAGTGCACTTGATTCGATTTAACAGGTTCTCGAGCCAGAGGATGACTGCAGTAAGGTGAAGAAAAATCTTTACACTGGCTGGAATCAGTCCATCTAAACTTCATCGCTGTAGAAAAAGGGAAAGRGACTCCTGAGCTGTCTTAAAATGAAGTGGGATCCAGTGAATTTTGAGTTTCATCTCCTAGTTGTGCCAAAACTCTCAATAAGAACAGAACAAGTGAGTCATTAAATAGAAAACATACACTCTTCATTGCTGCAGACAGCTTCTAATTTAAAGGACAAGCTGCATATTCGAGTATCACACTCATTTAGATACAGAGAGAGCAGAATGTTGGATATTWCCGGAAAGTGATTATTATGTACATTTTAGCCAAGTTGTCAGCAAGAAAATGAGAAACACAATCATTYTAGTGCTAATTGTGTGCCGTCCATCAATCCGGAGCCGGCTCTTGGCATAGGCAAACTAGGCGGCCGCCTAGAGCGCCATCTGCTGGAGGGGGCGCCGAACTGCAGAAGAAAAAAGTAATTATTTGTAATCCCTGGTTGTAGCTCAGCTCAGCGCCCCTTTCAATTAGCTTTGTCTTAAAAAACTGTAATGAAGTATTAAAGGAAAAATAAAATACTCGACCCAGGCTCGCTGCGAAGCAGGAGGAAAGCAGAGTGGAAAAAGTTCAAAATTTAATTCTACTGTCAGAACAGATTGGAAGATGGCTAATGTTATTTATTGTTTTTATGTCATCCTACAGGCTCTGACATGTCAGATAATTTTGAAAATGAGGTTTTGAAAAAATCAGTAAGACTTGAAAAAAATCAGTGAGATTTCCCTATACATCCGTATACCTGCAAAATGACGTAAAATCCTTACAACTCATGGACAATCCATACAAGTTGACATGTATGTTGTTATTTATTTGCTTTCTGYGAAAGCAAATAAATCTAAGTTTARCATAGTACCTTACACTGTCAAACTTGTTTTTAGGGGTTTAAATTGGGGTGGGTGGGACATAGTTCGGGGGGTGGGGGGTACTTCAAKTTGCCTAGGGCACCAAAATGGCTAGAGCCACCACTGCATCAATCCATCTATACATCCAGGGGGTCTCAACTCATTGAGARGTCCCAGAAAATCTCCAAAAAGTGGAATCCTAATCAACTTATGTTCTTCTCTGAGCTCGCTCTGCACCATATCTCTACAGGTAGCCTCTCACAGGGCTCCAACAGTTGCAGCCCAGTGAGATACTAACTTAAGGTTGAGCCCATGGATGGAGGAATCTATTTTAGTCTGTTTTTCTTTAGACCGTGATCCGTTTGTCTTGATTGTAGGTCAGGGTTGGATCGGATAGACTAGTGAATCACAGCAACATTCTCATTGCTCCACAAGAATCCCCAATTCGTCGCTCCATCTTCTGCTCCGTCCAATTGGAGTCCAYTCCATGAGGCAGACTCTCCCACAACCCAAACCTTACAGCACTTCCAAAATAAAAATAAAAATCAAGGCAAAGCGTTTTCATCTGTTGGTCCAACAGTCTGGCGATGTCTCTTTCCCTTTGGTTGTTGTGTGTTCAGGTATCAGGCTGATTTATTCTCCACATCGTATAAAGGATCAGTAATCTATCCGGTCTTCTTTCCACTCGCCAGCAGCTTCCCAGCTCACCTCCTGCTGTACACACCGGGTTAAATATTGAACGAAAATAAAGTTTCTGTTACATTTCAGTGAAACTAATGTGATATATGTTGGTTTTCTGCCTTGTCAGGAAACCTCTGGTAACCACCTGTCAGCTCTGACTCACACAAAGAGGATTAAGGACTGCTCGGCTCCACACCTCAGGTACCACACTATATTTTGAAAGAAGAGTCTGTTACGGACCTGTCGATTCATCCGGTTATAAAATAAATCTGCTGAACAGCTGCCATCTGCAGCCTCTGATTTTTTTAAGGCCGTTTGATTCCCTCAGATTTGGGAAGTTTAGAGGTCAGGTGAACGCCGCAGACTCTTTAATGTGTGCTTGGAATCATTATTCTGCAGTTTTTGGTGCGATTGCTCTTTTAAAAATGTCAGGGTAGGTGGCAAATGTCAAAGTAACAACCTGGATGCAGGCAGAAAGGTGCAGAGTTGGCTGATGGGCTAAAATAGTGCCAGTAGAACATTGATTACATACTGAGAGCTGAAAATTGATAGAATGAAGATTAAAACTCTGATTTTCTGATTAGAAGTCCCAATCAATCACTGACACTTCTCTAACACAGGTATTATTTATCCTCAGTTATGATTCAAGATATAAATCTAAGTAAAACTGATYATTTTTTTATTACTGCTGACTCATTTCACACAACCCAACACATCTTAAGGCCCATTTCTGTCATCCTTCCAAACAGAACTAAAGAAAACTGAAAGAATGACTGAGTCAAGTCTGAGAGCAGAAAAAGATGTTTCCTAATGCCAGCAGAGATTTGGATCTGTAACCACACGACTCTGCCTGGACTTCGCCCTTCAAACGGAGCTCGCAGAGTGAAAAAACAAACGGGCTCTGATCAAAACGGACGTCTTCAGAAGATCTCACCTCTAAATGACCTGAACAGCTTCCTCACCTCTAAAATTGAAACATTTATGTTTAAACTCCAATCAGCTTTATTTTTTTCCTGCTTATATTTAAAATTTAATGTTATTTTTTATAGATTCTGACTGATTTCAGGAAACGAGTCTGAGTGGTCCTGCCCGACAGTTCCGAGCCAAACGGCACGCCAGGTTCCAGCTTCTGCTTTCACAGTGAAAACACTGGGATGTCTTATATAATGCTGAGCGAGCTGCCAGGTGAATTAGAGGCCAGCACTTGACGAGGAAAATGTTTACGGAGCGACGCACCCGCCCTCCCGACAGAAACCCTTTCCCACGTTGGCCCCCGCAGAAAGAGACGTCCTCAGCAGAAGATCTGGAGCGTCGCCACGGTCAGGCGGGGTCACAACTCGGGTCGGCTTAATTCAGAGGCACGCTTCTATTTTTTTATTTTTATTTTTTCAAATGTATTTTGTGTGTGTGTGTGTGTGTGTTTGCATGCCCTCTTTTCACATGCTCCGAGTCGAGTGTTGTGCACATGAAAGGAAACACGCAGCGATCTCAGCTGTGTTGTAGCAGGAGGTCTGTTTGACTCGCACAGTGCAGGAAGAAAAGATTGATCCGATACCCACAGCGGTGACAATGTTTGCTCTGCCGGAATGAGAAACACGGTCAGGACAGACGAGAGGGAGAGGAGGGAAACAAAACTCATTCAATCTGGAAGGCTCGTGCTCACGCTCTGGACTGTTTGGCAGAAAAGACTCAATTTTAATAGGATTAATTCATTTTAGCTAAAGAGCTCCGCTCCGTCTGTTTCAGGTTAGTGGACCTCATTCAGTAAACTGTCCCGTCGGGAAA